GCGGCCCGACTCCTTTGATGAGTATGTGTGTGTGTGTGTGTGTAAGTGAGTGAGTGTGTGTGTGTGTGCTCTCCTCACCTCGGCCGGTCCGGTACTGCACGGGTTCTGACAGCGGCCCGACTCCTTTGCTGTTCTTGGCCTGGATGCGGTAGTAGTACACGGTGTCCAGGTTGAGGTCCAGCACCTGGTGTGTGAGCCGGTCTCCAGCGATGGACTCCATCACCCAGTCGTCGATCGGCATGTGCTTGTCCAGCGTGTAGTAGAGGATATAACCTGGGGGTGGAGTTAGGATTAGGGGTGGAGTTAAGATTAGGGGTGGAGTTAGGATTAGGCAATCAGGAACTGACTTCAACGAGGGGGGTAATAATTTGACAGGGAGTCGAAATTCGGCACAACACCGGCAAAAATGATATAGTGTACTATATTTTAGTTTAATAATGTTTTTTGATTCAATATTTAGTATTTTTAGAGGATTTTATGGTACTAAATTATATTTACGCTGTATTTATAATCCATTTCTTCTGATAATTTAACGTCCAGCTTAAACTGTGAAGAATCTGGAACGCTTTAGAGCGACAGACTGAAGTTTGATCTCTTCTCAAACACCACACTTGCAGATTATTGCTGAAGAGAAGAATTTTACGTTTATTGTTATGAAAAATGCACAAAAACATATTTTTTATGAAGTCTATATGTTCAGAATGCGGTTTTGTAGACGGAGATAATGTGAGGCGTAAGTGTGTGTTCGGAGTGTGAGCTGATCTCTCAGTAAACCAGCGTTCAGTGAGATGTTGTTCGGCTGCAGTTCCAAACGCTTCCACTAGAGGAAACTCGTCTCGCATTCATTTCCAATGCGGCATTTCTGACTGTGACTGTCGTTATCAGGACCATTACACCTGATCCAGTCACGCCCATCATGTGTGTGTGTTCACACAGACGATTCCGATGATTTTTCTATTTTTGGTCAAAAATGACTGATAAGTCTTCTTTAATGAAAAACGAGTGTGTGTTTAAAACAAGAACAAATCTCTGCTAATAGAGTCTGAAATGCTCTGAGTTCGAGCTCCTCACCTGTGATTCGCCCGTTGGCCTCCAGCGGCGGCTGCCAGCTAATCAGAATGGCTCGCGGCCGTCCCTCTCGGCCAATCACAGTCAGGTCCTTAGGGGCGGAGCTTGGCGCTGACCAATGGAAACAGAGAGATGTGCTTTCACACGCGTCTGGCACTCAGTAGCTCTGGCTTTATTCCCAGCACTAATTAAACAGTTAATGAGCCGCTGATCTCAGATCTGAGTCTGCGTCCTACAGTGATAACAGGAGTGTGTGTGTCACACACTGTGAGTCATTTTATACCTTATTTTGTCAGCTGAAGCCCTTTGAAGACCCCTTATTATTATTTTTTTTAATAATTTTCCAATGATTGTGTGTGTGTACCTGCTTCATAGGTGGTGGCGTGTGCTGTCATGCTCCATGTGCTGGACTTGCGGCCTTTGGTCACCATTACAGAGAACTCGTACATAGTGTTGGGCTTCAGAGCCGTGACAGTGTGACTGAGAGCCGTCGTATCTGCCGACTGACACACACACACACACACACGCGGTCAAGACCATTCTTTGTAATATCTCACACAACAAAGGTCTGCTCTGATACTATGATTGTAAATTACGGTACACTGTAAAGAAATATACGGTAAAAACTGCAGCTGTGGTCGCCTGTTAAAAATACTGTCGCAACATTTATCGGTTCACCGTAGCGGTCCGGCATTCACCTTGTATTTCCCGCTGGTGGAGTGGCTGGTCTTCCACTTGACGGAGTAGTAACGCACTTCCGGGGACTTCTGGTTTTTGGGAATGGAGTTGTCGGCCCAACTTACCCGCACCGAGTCTGACGTGAGGGGCACGGCCTGGACACCTACAGGAGGAATCATGGGAGTGGAGGTGTCTGGGACCGGGGTGGGGAATTTATCAAACAGATGGAAGAGATCGTCATCGGACGGGTCTGAGGGGTCTGCGTGTGTGTGTGTGTGTGTGTGTGTGTGTGTAAGAGACAGATCAGGGTTATGCAGTTCATGCCAAAATCATAAGTGACCAGAGATGAAAGCGGACGGAGGAATGAAGGAGGGAGAATGGAGTGACAGAGAGAGACAAAAGAAGAACGTTGAGATCTAGAGAGTGACTTTTAGAAGAGATAAAAAGTGGTAACCTGCCATTCAAGAGATATTTATTCCTGACAAGTCCCTAAAAATGACTTAGATTGGTTTAGCAATGTATTGAACCAGATCATTTAGATGTTACACTATAAAACAAAATGTCATGTTTATTTCTTGTTTCTTTGCATTTAATTGTGAAATTTCAGTGTACCATTTTAAGGTTACCAGTTTTTAGTGCACAGGGTGAATCTCAGCAAACATTAGTGATATTTCAACACAACATTATTTTCATAACTGTAATCAGCCAACTGTGATGTGGAATAATGAATATTTATATTGTAAAGTACATTTATGAATATACATCAATTCGTGTTTTATTTAATTCAGGCTGACTAAATTTATGATGTTCTTCCTCTGTCTCGTTTTACAGCACTAATATCTAAACATTCTTAAGTCACATTTACTGGAGAAGCGACATAATGAAGATATTAAGTAAAAATGAAGTGAGTTTGTGCTCAAAACCAGAACAAATATCTGCCAATGGAGTCAGAATAATAATCTTAATTCAAAGTGAAAACAATATTATCTTTCTGACCCCACTGGCAGAGATTTGTTCTGGTTTTAAGCACAAAACTTCATTATTCAAGTCTTAATATCTTCAGTCATTGTTGCTCTCCAGTAAATGTGTCTTGATGTAAGAATATTTAGATATTAGTGCTCGAGGACGAGACAGAAACACTGAGGAAGAACATCATTCTGTACTCAAAAATAAGCTTAATTTTCTTCATGCTAACTATAGTTTATGTTTCTCTTGATCTGGGGTGAAATATGAGTGTTCTGGTGAGATTCACCGAGTAAAAATCTACATTGTGACCAGAGAGACGACTAACACAAACTCATCTGTATATCACTCATCACTCATCATCAGGTCAGATTTATGGACCTGTCAGAGATATGATCAGATGAACGACGGACTGAACTACTTTCAGACGCACTGATGGAGTTTCACACCCAGTAACGAGACAGCTTTCCAAACACAGCAACATCTCAATGAGGAGGTTCTCTCAAGGTTCTTCCAGGAACGTTAATAAAACGTTTGTTCATTTCAAAGTATTGAGGTCTTTAATAATATTCTCAAAACATTAGCATAATAACATTATCTATACGTTCATGGAGCGTTTTAGTTCATCGATACTCGTCGAATACTGAACATAAATATAGATACTCGTCGAATACTGAACATGAATATAAAGATACTCGTCGAATACTGAACATAAATATAAAGATACTCGTCGAATACTGAACATAAATATAGATACTCGTCGAATACTGAACATGAATATAAAGATACTCGTCGAATACTGAACATGAATATAAAGATACTCGTCGAATACTGAACATAAATATAAAGATACTCGTCGAATACTGAACATAAATATAGATACTCGTCGAATACTGAACATAAATATAAAGATACTCATCGAATACTGAACATGAATATAAAGATACTCGTCGAATACTGAACATAAATATAAAGATACTCATCGAATACTGAACATAAATATAAAGATACTCGTCGAATACTGAACATGAATATAAAGATACTCGTCGAATACTGAACATGAATATAAAGATACTCGTCGAATACTGAACATAAATATAAAGATACTCATCGAATACTGAACATAAATATAAAGATACTCGTTGAATACTAAACATGAATATAAAGATACTCGTTGAATACTGAACATGAATATAAAGATACTAATCAATACTGAACATAAATATAAAGATACTCGTCGAATACTGAACATAAATATAAAGATACTCGTCGATTACTGAACATAAATATAAAGATACTCATCGAATACTGAACATAAATATAAAGATACTCGTCGAATACTGAACATAAATATAAAGATACTCGTCGAATACTGAACATGAATATAAAGATACTAATCAAATACTGAACATAAATATAAAGATACTCGTCGAATACTGAACATAAATATAAAGATACTCGTCGAATACTGAACATAAATATAAAGATACTCGTCGAATACTGAACATGAATATAAAGATACTAATCAAATACTGAACATAAATATAAAGATACTTGTCGAATACTGAACATGAATATAAAGATACTAATCAAATACTGAACATAAATATAAAGATACTCGTCGAATACTGAACATAAATATAAAGATACTCGTTGAATACTGAACATGAATATAAAGATACTAATCAAATACTGAACATAAATATAAAGATACTCGTCGAATACTGAACATAAATATAGATACTCGTCGAATACTAAACATAAATATAAAGATATTCGTCGAATACTGAACATGAATATAAAGATACTCGTCAAATACTGAACATAAATATAAAGATACTCATCGAATACTGAACATAAATATAAAGACACTCGTCGAATACTGAACATGAATATAAAGATACTCGTCGAATACTGAACATTAATATAAAGATACTCGTTGAATAATGAACATAAATATAAAGATACTCGTTGAATAATGAACATAAATATAAAGATACTCGCTGAATACTGAACATGAATATAAAGATACTAATCAAATACTGAACATAAATATAGATACTCGTCGAATACTGAACATGAATATAAAGATACTCGTCGAATAATGAACATAAATATAAAGATACTCGTCAAATAATGAACATAAATATAAAGATACTCGTCGAATACTGAACATAAATATAAAGATACTCGTCGAATAATGAACATAAATATAAAGATACTCGTCGAATAATGAACATAAATATAAAGATACTCGTCGAATAATGAACATAAATATATAGATACTCGTCGAATAATGAACATAAATATAAAGATACTCGCCGAATACTGAACATGAATATAAAGATACTAATCAAATACTGAACATAAATATAGATACTCGTCGAATACTGAACATAAATATAAAGATACTCATCGAATACTGAACATGAATATAAACATACTAATCAAATACTGAACATAAATATAGATACTCGTCGAATACTGAACATAAATATATAGATACTCGTCGAATAATGAACATAAATATAAAGATACTCGTCAAATAATGAACATAAATATAAAGATACTCGTCGAATAATGAACATAAATATAAAGATACTCGTCGAATAATGAACATAAATATATAGATACTCGTCGAATAATGAACATAAATATAAAGATACTCGCCGAATACTGAACATGAATATAAAGATACTAATCAAATACTGAACATAAATATAGATACTCGTCGAATACTGAACATAAATATAAAGATATCTGTCGAATAATGAACATGAATATAAAGATACTAATCAAATACAGAACATTAATATAAAGATACTCATCAAATACTGAACATAAATATAAAGATACTCGTCGAATACTGAACATTAATATAAAGATACTTGTCAAATACTGGATTATAAATATAAAAATAGTCATCAAATACAGAACATTAATATAAAGATACTCATCAAATACTGAACATAAAAAGATACTTGTCGATTACTGAACATAAATATAAAGATACTTGTCGAATACTGAACATAAATATAAAGATACTCGTCAAATTCTGAACATAAATATAAAGATACTCATCAAATACTGAACATAAATGTGAAGATACTCGTCGAATAATGTTATTCTCCTGAAATGTTTGTCCAGTGGTGACTGAAGGTTTTTGATCATATATTTATATACGGGAACAGGACTATAACCACACTGTCTAAAACGACATAAAATGGGAACATTAGTATAATGTTCATGTATATCTCTGAGATGTTTCTCCAGCCATAACTGAAGGGTTGTGATCATATATATACGGGAACATGACTATAATCACGCTATAAATTATATGAAACGTAACGCACCGGACATGGATCTGGTGACGGCGCTCTCGTAGAGAGGAACTCCTTCTCCCGCGTTATTGAAGGCCTTCAGAGAGATCACGTAATGAGAGCTGGGCTCTGAAACACACACACACACACAACATGACTTTACACCGGTACACCAGAGACTTCTGCAAAAGCACAAGCATTTAAAATGAGGCCAAACAAAGCAAGACTGATGAAAACAGCGACAGCAACATCAGTGTTTGAGCGTGTCAGTGAGCGAGGCTTTGAGAGACGCTTTCATGACTGTGTGAAATCTGTGAAATCCCTGAACAAAGAAACAGAAGATGCTCTTTTTCCTCTTTCCATTAGTTTCTCCTTTTGCTTCTGGCCAGCCAGACCGGGTTCAATATCGCTGCCATGGCAACCTGTGGATTTCATGTGAAATATTGATAAGGACGTGGCCTTATTTTTGCCCAGAATGAGGAGATGTAAAATGAGATTTTAGCGTTCAGAGGACAAAAGGCGAGTGCAGGCGAGATGCTCTACACTGCACAACATGCTTTCTCACTCCGTGTTTGTGTCTCGTTTCCACTACAAATATACAAATATTCTTAAATCAAGATGCATTTACTAGATGAGTAAAATGCATAATATATTAAGTCTGGTTTTCTGAGGAAATAAATCCAAATTAAGTGAGTTCTTGCTTAAAACATGCAAAAGTATCTGTTAATGGGGTCAGGAAACTAGTCTTGTTTCTGTTTGAATTAAGTGTTTTTTTCTGACCCCAGTGGTGGATAATTTTGGTGGAAAAAAAACTCACTTTCATTTTGATTTATTTCCCCAGAAAACAAGACATAATATCTTGAGGCCTTTTACTCATCTAGTAAATGCATCTTGATTTGAGAATTTTTTTGATATTTGGACTGGAAACAAGACAAACACTAAGTAAGAAAAGCATTTATTTGCAGTGCATCGACGGCTTGACGAAACGTACAGCTTCACTGAACCTCGTAAACTCTCGGTAATCACAGAAAAATAGAATAAATAAAACATTAACGCATGAGAGCGTGTTTGATCTTGAACAAACTCTCATTAAGAATTCATGATCACTGAACTCGCCGCACCTCCTTATGAATATTCAAATCTGCGCTTTTTCGCTGCGTCGTCTGAGATGCGACCGCAGATGAGTCGCCTTTACATGAAACATTATATTCTCAGTAATCAATAAACAAACGAGATCCCAATTTTAAATAAAATGTTATTTCGTTCACTTCTATAAACAATCACAGCGTTCACACGTGTTCTTCCTCAGTGTTTCTGTCTCGTTTCCCAGCACTAATATCTAAACATTCTTACATCAAGACACATTTACTGGAGAAGAACAATGACTGAAGATATTAAGACTTGATTAATGAAAAATGTATCATCTGACTGTATTCCACATACATATACAGTATGTGTGTGTGTGTGTGTGTTCTCACTCACCGAGGTTCTCGATGGAGTAGTAGCGCTGTTTGCTGTCGACTCTGACGGTCTCCGCGTACGGGCTGCCGACGCCGTAGCCGATGATGTAGCCGCGCACGAGGATGTTGGGGTTCAGCGGGGGTGTCCAGCTCATGATGATGCTGTTGGGCAGCGGACGCACGTGCAGAGAGCTCGGCTGGTTCGGGACCTGCGTCTCTACATCACACACAACAGGGGACACTAACATTAGAGGGATAGAAGGATGGATTGATGGATGGATGGATAGATAGATAGATAGATAGATAGATAGACGAACGGATAAGAGATGGATGGATGGATGGATGGATGATAGATAGATGGATGATAGATGGATGGATGGATGATAGATGGATGGATACATGAATGCATGGATGATAGATGATAGATGGATGACAGATAGACAAATGGATAATGGATGGATGGATAGATAGATAGATAGATGAATGGATGATGGACGGATGGATGATAGATAGATAAATAGATAGATGGATGGATGATAGATGGATGGGTAGACGAATGGATGGACAGATGATGGATGGATGGATGGATGGATAGATAAATAGATAGATGAATGGATGATGGATGGATGGATGGACGGATGGATGATAGATAGATAGATGAATGGATGATGGATGGATGGACAGATGGATGATAGATAGATAGATAGATAGATAGATAGATAGATAGATAGATAGGTAGACGAATGGATGGATGGATGATAGATAGATAGATGAATGGATGATGGATGGACGGATGGATGATAGATAGATAGATATATAGATAGATAGATAGACAAACGGATAAGAGATGGATGGATGGATGGATGGATGATAGATAGATGGATGATAGATGGATGGATGGATGATAGATGGATGGATGGATGATAGATGGATGGATACATGAATGCATGGATGATAGATGATAGATGGATGACAGATAGACAAATGGATAATGGATGGATGGATGGATGGATAGATAGATAGATAGATGAATGGATGATGGATGGACGGATGGATGATAGATAAATAGATAGATGGATGGATGATAGATGGATGGGTAGACGAATGGATGGACAGATGATGGATGGATGGATGGATGGATAGATAGATGAATGGATGATGGATGGATGGATGGACGGATGGATGATAGATAGATGAATGGATGATGGATGGATGGACAGATGGATGATAGATAGATAGATAGATAGATAGATAGATGGATGGGTAGACAAATGGATGGATGGATGATAGATGGATGGATGGATAGATGGATAGATAGATAGATAGATAGATGAATGGATGATGGATGGACGGATGGATGATAGATAGATATATAGATAGATAGATAGATAGACAAACGGATAAGAGATGGATGGATGGATGGATGATAGATAGATGGATGATAGATGGATGGATGATAGATGGATGGATACATGAATGCATGGATGATAGATGATAGATGGATGACAGATAGACAAATGGATAATGGATGGATGGATGGATAGATAGATAGATGAATGGATGATTGATGGACGGATGGATGATAGATAGATAAATAGATAGATGGATGGATGATAGATGGATGGGTAGACGAATGGATGGACAGATGATGGATAGATGGATGGATGGATGGATGGATAGATAGATGAATGGATGATAGATGGATGGATGGATAGACGAATGGATGATAGATGGATGGATGGATGGAGTCCTTTGTCCTCTGATTATCTTCTTCACATTTACGGCTCTGTTTCTATTCTGGTAGTTTCTGCTTTGTAAATCATTTTCTTCAGTGCATATTATTCCCTGTGTGTGTGTGTGTGTGTGTGTGTGTGTGTTTGAGTGCATGTGTTCTCCCACATCAAGCCTCGCTCACGTATCTCTCTCTCTCTCCCTCAGGCTGTTATTGGGAACCACAGAGAGTCTCTGATTAATGAGTCTCAAACTGCTCGACCGGGTCCTGATCAAACCTGAACCACACGCTTGATGCGCATAGATACACGACTCGCTCAAAGCTGACATTCTCACGTGGAACAACGTCTTCAAAGCGCTGCGTTACAACAGACGACTCAGGCACTCTGCTCCAGCTCAAAGATATTGTAAATGTCAAAATCATCTTCATCTATTACATGCCGAATGATGTGCTTTTAACTTTTTATATTCTCTGCCTGTTCATCTGAAACTCAGACGAACTGAAGCCAAACGTGACGGTTCTCTGCTTAAACTGCTTAACTTTTTACAGTTTCAACATTTTATCTCATAATTATTATTATGTCAAGATTTCGACCTTTTATCTCACAAGTTCACTTTTATCTCATAGTTGTATGTCATAATTTTGTTCTTTTATCTCATAGTTGTGTGTCATAATTTTGTTCTTTTATCTCATAGTTGTGTGTCATAATTTTGTTCTTTTATCTCATAGTTGTGCGCCATATTTTTGATGTTTTATCTCATAGTTGTGTCATAATTTTGATGTTTTATCTCATATTTGTGTTATATTTTTGATGTTTTATCTCATAGTTGTGTCATATTTTTGATGTTTTATCTCATAGTTGTGTCATATTTTTGATGTTTTATCTCATAGTCGTGTGTTATATTTTTGATGTTTTATCTCATAGTTGTGTCATATTTTTGATGTTTTAGCTCATAGTCGTGTGTCATAATTTTGATGTTTTATCTCATAGTTGTGTCATATTTTTGATGTTTTATCTCATAGTTGTGTCATATTTTTGATGTTTTATCTCATAGTCGTGTGTCATAATTTTGATGTTTTATCTCATATTTGTGTCATATTTTTGATGTTTTATCTCATAGTCGTGTGTCATAATTTTGATGTTTTATCTCATATTTGTGTCATATTTTTGATGTTTTATCTCATAGTTGTGTCATATTTTTGATGTTTTATCTCATAGTCGTGTGTCATATTTTTGATGTTTTATCTCATAGTTGTGTCATATTTTGATGTTTTATCTCATAGTTGTGTCATATTTTTGATGTTTTATCTCATAGTCGTGTGTCATAATTTGGATGTTTTATCTCAGTTGTGTCATAATTTTGAAATTTTATCTCATAATTGTGTCATATTTTTGTTAATTTATCTCATAGTTGTGAGTGTTAAACGTACCTCATCATTTCACCTCTTGTATCTCATAATTACAATGTAGTTAGTCAATTTTTAGTTTACTTTCTCATAAGTGTAAATAAATCTCATAGTTATTATGATTATGAATTATGATTAGTATGTCAAAATCTCACAACTTTAACTTTATATCTCATACAGTGATTTTGATAGTGTCACACTTTCAACTTTTTATCTCATAATTATGCTTCACGAAGCAGCGTTTCCAAAGCACCCATCGCTACTTTCCGGTTTAAGCTGCCATAAATTCTGCTGCATTGTGCGTCTGCATATACATATTCACCACCCTGGTCGTTCTCTGGCGTCTCAGCCGTGTGCCACTCGCTGCTGGGATCCGTGCCATATCTCAAACTTTCCACTTTTTACTCATATGACTTAGTATGTCAAAATTTTGAAAACATATCTCATAATTTTAAACTTTTATCTCATAATTTCAACTTATTATCCCGTAATTATGACAGCATCATAAGTTTGACTTTTTATCTCAAAATTTCAACTTATTATCAAATAATTATGACAGTCTCACACTTTCAACTTTTTATCTCATAATTATGACAGCATGTCATAAAGGTTTCCAGAAGCAGTGTTTGCAAAGCACCCATCGCTACTTACTAGTACTGAACCCCTTAAAAACCATCACAACACACCGACCTAAACACCTTAAGCTCCCGGTTTAAGCTGCCCTAAATTGTGCTGCATTGTGCGTCTGCATATTCATATTCATATTGGTATTCACCGTCCAGGTCGTTCTCTGGGGTCTCGGCTGTGTGCCACTCGCTGCTGGGACCCGTGCCATTCACCGTCATCGCTGCCACTTGGAAGCTGTACTGGCTGCCTTTCTCCAAGCCTGTCACACAATAAACAAAGAGCGCGAGTCAGGAAAAGAAATTAAGGTGTGTGTGTATGTGTGTGTGATTATTATTTGCGATTCTAATTAGTAAACAGCAATCAGAGAAGGCGGCGAGGTAAACAAGGTCTCCAAACCTCATCTAAACAGATCAGGATGCATTTCCATCATGTGTAAAGATAAAAAAACGCAATTATGATAGTAGGGCGCTGTCATCCCTGAACGCCCCGGAGTGTCGGGAATTAGCATAACACACTCCAACGGCACTGTGAAACCAATCCCTTCGGAAATAGCAACTTAGCAAGATATCCATCAAGGGAATAATGGAAATGAATATGATTTTCCAATAAATTCAGAAATCCTATTCAAACAAACACACATCTGCGCTTCCCAAAGTCCCGGAGGACGACAAATGCGGCGTGATGTGATGCATCGTGGGCCGACTTCTTAAACACGCACAGAATGAGGACTGAAAACACGGCTGTGTTTACATGCACAGCTTCTGCTTCAGCCGCACTGAACTCATGCCGACTGAGCAATCTGATCGAACGCTGAACATGTGATCACGGGTGTGATGTGTGTGTTTATACGTCACACGCTTCAAATCGGGATATATTGTTTGACATACAGAGTTTCCCGATGTCTGCGCATAATAACCACTCTCAGCTCTTTATTTGTTTTAAACAGCAGACTTAATATTTATCCATTTATCCAAATAACGAGTGTAAGAACCGTCATTACACTATTTGTACGTCATTACGTTATTAGGCTATTTCTACATCATTACGCTATTTCTACGTCATTACGCTATTTCTACATCATTACGCTATTTCTACATCATTACGCTATTTCTACATCATTACGCTATTTCTACATCATTACACTATTTCTACATCATTACGCTATTTCTACGTCATTACGCTATTTCTACATCATTACGCTATTTTACGTTATTTCTACATCATTACGCTATTTTACGTTATTTCTACATCATTACGCTATTTCTTCGTCATTATGCTATTTTACGTTTTTTCTACATCATTACACGATTTCTACATCATTACGCTATTTCTACCTCATTACGCTATTTCTACGTCATTGCGTGATTTCTGCATCATTACGCTATTTCTACATCATTACGCTATTTCTACATCATTACGCTATTTCTACATCATTACACTATTTCTGCATCATTACGCTATTTCTACTTCATTGCGCTTTTTTTCGTTATTTCTACATCATTACGCTATTTCTACATCATTACGCTATTTCTACATCATTACGCTATTTCTACGTCATTACGCTATTTCTACATCATTACGCTATTTTATGCTGTCTACGTCATTACGCGATTTCTACATCATTACGCTATTTTACGTTATTTCTACATCATTACGCTATTTCTACATCATTACACTATTTCTACATCATTACGCTATTTCTACATCATTACGTTATTTCTACATCATTACGCTATTTCTACGTCATTACGCTATTTCAACATCATTACGCTATTTCTACATCATTACGCTATTTCTACATCATTACGCTATTTCTACATCATTACACTATTTCTACATCATTACACTATTTCTACATCATTACGTTATTAGGCTATTTCTACATCATTACGCTATTTCTACATCATTACGCTATTTCTACATCATTACACTATTTCTACATCATTACGCTATTTCTACATCATTACACTATTTCTACATCATTACGCTATTTCTACATCATTACGCTATTTCTACATCATTACGCTATTTCTACATCATTACGCTATTTCTACATCATTACGCTATTTCTACATCATTACACTATTTCTACATCATTACACTATTTCTACATCATTACGTTATTAGGCTATTTCTACATCATTACGCTATTTCTACATCATTACGCTATTTCTACATCATTACGCTATTTCTACATCATTACACTATTTCTACATCATTACGCTATTTCTACATCATTACACTATTTCTACATCATTACGCTATTTCTACATCATTACGCTATTTCTACATCATTACGCTATTTCTACATCATTACGCTATTTCTACATCATTACACTATTTCTACATCATTACGCTATTTCTACATCATTACGCTATTTCTACATCATTACACTATTTCTACATCATTACGCTATTTCTACATCATTACACTATTTCTACATCATTTTGCTATTTCCACATCATTACGTTATTTCCACATCATTACCTTATTTCCACATCATTACCTTATTTCCACATCATTACCCTATTTCCACATCATTACGCTATTACCATGTCATTTTTCTATTTCCACATCATTACACTATTTCTACATCATTTTGCTATTTCAACGTCATTACGCTATTTCCACATCATTACGCTATTTCTACGTCATTACGCTATTTCCACATCATTACGCTATTTCTACGTCATTACGCTATTTCTACATCATTACACTATTTCTACATCATTACACTATTTCTGTCATTACGCTATTTCTACATCATTACGCTATTTCAACGACATTACGCATTATTTCTACATCATTACACTATTTCTACCTCGTTAGGCTATTTCAGCAACATTACGATATTTCCACATAATTACGCTATTTCTACGTCATTACGCTATTTCAACGACATTACACTATTTCTACATCATTACGCTATTTCTACGTCATTACGCTATTTCTACATCATTACACTATTTCTACATCATTACGCTATTTCCTCGTCATTACGCTATTTCTACATCATTACGCTATTTCTACGTCATTACGCTATTTCTACATCATTACGCTATTTCTACATCATTACGCTATTTCTACGTCATTACGCTATTTCTACATCATTACGCTATTTCTACGTCATTACACTATTTTTACATCATTACGCTATTTCTACGTCATTACACTATTTCTACATCATTACACTATTTCTACATCATTACGTTATTAGGCTATTTCTACATCATTACGCTATTTCTACATCATTACGCTATTTCTACATCATTACGCTATTTCTACATCATTACACTATTTCTACATCATTACGCTATTTCTACATCATTACACTATTTCTACATCATTACGCTATTTCTACATCATTACGCTATTTCTACATCATTACGCTATTTCTACATCATTACACTATTTCTACATCATTACGCTATTTCTACATCATTACGCTATTTCTACATCATTACACTATTTCTACATCATTACGCTATTTCTACATCATTACACTATTTCTACATCATTACGCTATTTCTACATCATTACGCTATTTCTACATCATTACGCTATTTCTATAGCATTACACTATTTCTGCATCATTGCGCTATTTCTACATCATTACGCTATTTCTACGTCATTGCGTTATTTCAACATCATTACGCTATTTCTACATCATTATGCTATTTCTACGTCATTACGCTATTTCTACGTCATTACGCTATTTCTACATCATTACACTATTTCTACATCATTACGCTATTTCTACATCATTACGCTATTTCTACGTCATTACGCTATTTCTACATCATTACACTATTTCTACATCATTACGCTATTTCTACGTCATTACGCTATTTCAACATCATTACGCTATTTCTACGTGATTATGTTATTTCTACATCATTACACTATTTCTACATCCTTATGCTATTTCAACGGCATTACGCTATGTCAACATCATTACGCTATTTCAACGTGATTATGTTATTTCTACATCATTACACTATTTCTACATCCTTACGCTATTTCAACGTGATTATGTTATTTCTACATCATTACACTATTTCTACATCCTTACGCTAATTCAACGTCATTACACTATTTCTACATCATTACGCTATTTCTACGTCATTACGCTATTTCTACATCATTACGCTATTTCTACGTCATTACACTATTTTTACATCATTACGCTATTTCTACGTCATTATGCTCACTATTTCTACATCATTACGCTATTTCTAAGTCATTACGCTATTTCTACATCATTGTGCTATTTCTACGTCATTACGCACTATTTCTACGCCATTACGCTATTTCTACGTCATTACACTATTTCTACATCATTACGCTATTTCTACGTCATTACACTATTTCTACATCATTACGCTATTTCTACGTCATTACACTATTTCTACATCATTACGCTATTTCTACGTCATTACGCTATTTCTACATCATTACGCTATTTCAACGACATTACGCACTATTTCTACATCGTTGCGCTATTTCTACGTCATTACACTATTTCTACATCATTACACTATTTCTACATCATTACGCTATTTCTGCATCATTACGCTATTTCTACGTCATTACACTATTTCTACATCATTACGCTATTTCTACGTCATTACGCACTATTTCTACATCATTGCGCTATTTCTACGTCATTACACTATTTCTACATCATTACACTATTTCTACATCATTACGCTATTTCTACATCATTACGCTATTTCTACGTCATTACACTATTTCTACATCATTACGCTATTTCTACGTCATTGCGCTATTTCTGTCATTACGCTATTTCTACATCATTCCAATATTTCTACATCATTCCAATATTTCTATGTCATTACGCTATTTCTACATCATTACGCTATTTCTACGTCATTACGCTATTTCTACATCATTACACTATTTCTACATCATTACGCTATTTCAACGACATTACGCTATTTCTACATCATTACGCTATTTCTACGTCATTACGCTATTTCTACATCATTACACTATTTCTACATCATTACGCTATTTCAACGACATTACGCATTATTTCTACATCATTACACTATTTCTACCTCGTTAGGCTATTTCTCGTCATTACGCTATTTCTACATCATTACGCTATTTCAACGTCATTACGCTATTTCTACATCATTACGCTATTTCTACGTCATTACGCTATTTCTACATCATTACGCTATTTCTACGTCATTACGCTATTTCTACATCATTACGCTATTTCTACATCATTACGCTATTTCTACATCATTACGCTATTTCTACGTCATTACGCTATTTCTACATCATTACGCTATTTCTACGTCATTACGCTATTTTACATCATTACGCTATTTCTACGTCATTACACTATTTCTACATCATTACACTATTTCTACATCATTACGTTATTAGGCTATTTCTACATCATTACGCTATTTCTACATCATTACGCTATTTCTACATCATTACGCTATTTCTACATCATTACACTATTTCTACATCATTACGCTATTTCTACATCATTACACTATTTCTACATCATTACGCTATTTCTACATCATTACGCTATTTCTACATCATTACGCTATTTCTACATCATTACGCTATTTCTACATCATTACGCTATTTCTACATCATTACGCTATTTTACGCTATTTCTACATCATTACGCTATTTCTACGTCATTACGCTATTTCTACATCATTACACTATTTCAACTACATCATTACACTATTTCTACATCATTACACGATTTCTACATCATTACGCTATTTCTACCTCATTACGCTATTTCTACGTCATTACGCTATTTCTACATCATTACACTATTTCTACATCATTACGCTATTTCTACGTCATTACGCTATTTCTACATCATTACACTATTTCTACATCATTACGCTATTTCTACATCATTACGCTATTTCTACGTCATTACGCTATTTCTACATCATTACACTATTTCTACATCATTACGCTATTTCTACGTCATTACGCTATTTCTACATCATTACGCTATTTCTACGTCATTACGCTATTTCTACATCATTACACTATTTCTACATCATTACGCTATTTCTACGTCATTACGCTATTTCTACATCATTACGCTATTTCTACGTCATTACGCTATTTCTACATCATTACACTATTTCTACATCATTACGCTATTTCTACGTCATTACGCTATTTCTACATCATTACACTATTTCTACATCATTACGCTATTTCCTCGTCATTACGCTATTTCTACATCATTACGCTATTTCTACGTCATTACGCTATTTCTACATCATTACGCTATTTCTACATCATTACGCTATTTCTACGTCATTACGCTATTTCTACATCATTACGCTATTTCTACGTCATTACACTATTTTTACATCATTACGCTATTTCTACGTCATTACGCTATTTCTACATCATTACGCTATTTCTACGTCATTACGCTATTTCTACATCATTACGCTATTTCAACATCATTACGCTATTTCTACGTCATTACGCTATTTCTACATCATTACGCTATTTCTACGTCATTACGCTATTTCTACATCATTACGCTATTTCTACGTCATTACGCTATTTCTACATCATTACGCTATTTCAACGTCATTACGCTATTTCTACGTCATTACGCTATTTCAACGACATTACGCACTATTTCTACATCATTACGCTATTTCTACGTCATTACGCTATTTCAACGTCATTACGCTATTTCAACGTCATTACGCACTATTTCTACATCATTACGCTATTTCTACGTCATTACGCTATTTCTACGTCATTACACTATTTTTACATCATTACGCTATTTCTACGTCATTACGCTATTTCTACGTCATTACACTATTTCTACGTCATTACACTATTTTTACATCATTACGCTATTTCTACATCATTACGCTATTTCTACATCATTACGCTATTTCTACGTCATTACGCTATTTCTACGTCATTACGCTATTTCTACATCATTACGCACTATTTCTATATCATTACGATATTTCTACGTCATTACGCTATTTCTACATCATTACGCTATTTCTACGTCATTACGCTATTTCTACGTCATTACGCTATTTCTACGTCATTACGCACTATTTCTACATCATTACGCTATTTCTATGTCATTACGCTATTTCTACATCCTTACGCTATTTCAACGTCATTACGCTATTTCTACATCATTACGCTATTTCTACATCATTACGCTATTTCAACGTCATTACGCTATTTTTACATCCTTACGCTATTTCAACGGCATTACGCTATTTCAACATCATTACGCTATTTCTACGTCATTACACTATTTTTACATCATTACGCTATTTCTACATCATTACGCTATTTCTACATCATTACGCTATTTCTACGTCATTACGCTATTTCTACGTCATTACGCTATTTCTACATCATTACACTATTTCTACGTCATTACACTATTTTTACATCATTACGCACTATTTCTACATCATTACGCTATTTCTACGTCATTACACTATTTCTACATCATTACACTATTTCTACGTCATTACACTATTTTTACATCATTACGCTATTTCTACGTCATTACGCTATTTCTACGTCATTACACTATTTCTACGTCATTACACTATTTTTACATCATTACGCTATTTCTACATCATTACGCTATTTCTACATCATTACACTATTTCTACGTCATTACACTATTTTTACATCATTACGCTATTTCTACGTCATTACACTATTTTTACATCATTACGCTATTTCTACGTCATTACGCTATTTCTACGTCATTACGCTATTTCTACGTCATTACGCTATTTCTACATCATTACACTATTTCTACGTCATTACACTATTTTTACATCATTACGCTATTTCTACGTCATTACGCTATTTCTACGTCATTACACTATTTCTACGTCATTACACTATTTTTACATCATTACGCTATTTCTACATCATTACGCTATTTCTACATCATTATGCTATTTCTACGTCATTTTCGCTATTTCTACGTCATTAGCTATTTCTACGTCATTACGCTATTTCTACATCATTACACTATTTCTACGTCATTACGCTATTTCTACGTCATTACGCTATTTCTACGTCATTACGCTATTTCTACGTCATTACGCTATTTCTACATCATTACACTATTTCTACGTCATTACACTATTTTTACATCATTACGCTATTTCTACGTCATTACACTATTTCTACATCATTACACTATTTCTACGTCATTACACTATTTTACATCATTACGCTATTTCTACGTCATTACGCTATTTCTACGTCATTACACTATTTCTACGTCATTACACTATTTTTACATCATTACGCTATTTCTACATCATTACGCTATTTCTACATCATTACACTATTTCTACGTCATTACACTATTTTACATCATTACGCTATTTCTACGTCATTACACTATTTTTACATCATTACGCTATTTCTACGTCATTACGCTATTTCTACGTCATTACACTATTTCTACGTCATTACACTATTTTTACATCATTACGCTATTTCTACGTCATTACGCTATTTCTACGTCATTACGCTATTTCTACATCATTACACTATTTCTACGTCATTACACTATTTTACATCATTACGCACTATTTCTACATCATTACGCTATTTCTACGTCATTACACTATTTTTACATCATTACACTATTTCTACGTCATTACACTATTTTTACATCATTACGCACTATTTCTACATCATTACGCTATTTCTACGTCATTACACTATTTCTACATCATTACACTATTTCTACGTCATTACACTATTTTTACATCATTACGCTATTTCTACATCATTACGCTATTTCTACGTCATTACGCACTATTTCTACATCATTACGTTATTTCTACATCATTACATTATTCCGCTATTTCTGTCATCACATGTCATTACGCTATTTCTACGTCATTGCATGTGCAAAGTCTTTCAGTTTGGTTTTCAATCCGATCAAGTGTTCACGTTCTCTCGATCGGATTAGAAACACTCCAATCGATCGTTCATTCGGATCGAGCTCAATCGGGTGGATTACGGCGTGTACACGCAGGCTAACATGAGCCGTCACTCCGCTAACTAACAGATGATTGGGTTGCATGTAGACGCAGCAGAAGTGAGAGCCAAGAGAATCTGTCCGCTCAGAAGAGACGAGGGAACGTAAAGATGGCGTGTGGTGTCGAGACGGGCTCACCGGTGAAGAGGAACCACAGGTTATTGGGTTCGATGGCCTCCTGTTCCCCACGCCGGCCCGTCTTCCGGTGCCGGATCTTGTATCCGGTGATGAAGCCGTTCTGCATGTTAGCGTTCGGCGGCTGCCAGCTCACCTTGATGCTCTGAAACATTCATACACAACACACACACACGTTTCATTTATTTGAGCAAAAATACTGTAAAAATTGTGAAATATTATTAGAATCTAAAATAACTATTTAATATATAGTAAAGTGTCATTTATTCCTGAATTGATCATCATTACTCCAGTCTTCAGTGTCACATGATCCTCCAGAAATCACTCTAATATGAGGATCTGATGATCAACACACAGTTATGATTATCATTATTGTTGAAAACAGTTCATATTTTTGTGCAAACCATCATATATTTTATTTCTCAGGATTCTTCGATGAAAAGAAAGTTCAAAAGAACAGAATTTGTTTGAAATAGAATCTTTTGTAACATTATAAATGTCTTTCCTGCCACTTCAATTAATGCATCCTTGAATAAAAGTATTCAATTCTTCAAAATAAATCTAACTGACCACAAGCTAGTGTTAATACATCCATACATAACATAGAATAATATAAAATATAAAATAATTAGAATTTTATACAAATTGCTTTTTTGCATCCTTGATTAATAGAGTATATAAAAAAATCCAAACTTTCGAACAGTATAACATATAAAAAGGAAACTATGTTGCTTTTTATTATTTTTCAGAAAAACATGTTTTGTAGAATTTATACAAATATTACACCTTTTTTTGGTGATGATTACATGATTTTTGTATAAATTTTGTTCATGCACAACATTTTTTCATACATTTAATTTTAATTTATAAATAATATAAAAAATGAAAATATATATATATATTATATAAAAAGGATACATTATAATACAGAGCAGAATATGATGTTAACTGGAGCTGGCTCTGTGTTCTGCATGGATCTTTCACATTAATTATGCAAGAAAAGGCATTTATTATTGTGTAATCAGAGGACTGAACGACTGGTGTGACGGGGTGTTTAGTCGCCGCGGTTGAAAGGTCACGTGAGCTCGACCTCTGCTAACGCTACAAACCCGAGTCAACAGAACCCCGTCCTCAGACTCATTACCCTTCACACGCGTCTGCGCAGGAATGCCATCATATGCTCGTCTGCAGCGCTGCCATCTGCGCCCGTTAACATGCAAATCAACCAATTAACATTCACACCACCACAACACTGCCAACCGCAACACGCTAATGCTAACTCTCGCCAATCCTGCCACACAACCGGCTGAAGCCATTAGCATTTGTTGGCACTTCTTCCTGTGTGTGTGTGTGTGTGTGTGTGTGTGTGTGTGTGTTAATGGCAGTAGCTGAGGATTGGTATTTTGGCCCCGTCATTGAGTTAATTATCCCGTGTAGAACAGGAGAAGCAACTCAGAGCAGTGTGTTGCTGTGCAGATCTGTGTGTGTGTGTGTGTGTGTGTTAATATTCACACAGCAGTAGATATATAGACTAACATGTATACGCAGTAAGAGCCTAAAATGGATTATAATCAATAAAGTCAATTTTATATATAAATACATACAAACAGGATTAAAACGAGATCATATCTATTAATAAAAGATATTTGTATTTTATTACGGTCTTCTATGAAACTCTCCTTGACTTTCACTCGTTCTCTCGTGTTGATTAATCTCAGGGAAACTTCATATTCATAACAGCAAACAGACAACAAATGAAATAAAGCGAGTAAACGACTCGTGAAATCGATGAGTCAGTGTGTGTGTGGACCCTCTCTATTCATTTCAGACATTAATAACCAGCACACACACACACACACACACACACACACAGAAAGTCTCATTTTCTGGAGAAAAATGAAAATGTTTGAGTCTGAAAACGACCCTGTGTGAACATGATGCATGTGTGTGTGTGTGTGTGTGTGTGTGTGTGAGTAAGTGTTGTGAGTTAAATGTTTGAGTTGCACATTGTGAGAATTGAAAGTGTGACTGCACTGATGTTCAACTCCTCATATAATCTCCCAGAGTCTCGCTGACGCTGGTGTTGACGTGTTAACGTCTGATAGAGCGAATCTAAAGTCAGAATCATCATTCTGCAGACCAACACAATGGATCCGGGACGGGGTCTGTGGACGAGCAGAAGCACTGCCAAACACACACACACACACACACACACACACACACACACCGCAGCACAATGAAACCAATTTCCTGTCATAAACAATCGGTTATCGGGCCGCTCAGACAGAGCACTCATTACAGAGAGAGAGATGAGGACACACACTTCATCCCATCACACACACACACACACACACACACACTGCTCACTCCTTTATTCTGTTAGTTACCATGGCAACAGTTCCTCAGTTTAAGTCCAAGTATGAAAATTACTAAAACTGAAGTAAACAGAAACAAAATAATATGAATAACAACAGCACACACACTGACTGAAACTTCAGCTCAAGTTCAAATGAAAACTGAGCATGAAAATATAAATATCAATTCAAAATGTGGATAAATATGTAAATAATACTGAAATAACTATTTTAATGCAGCACATGACAGACAAACCCTCAGAAAACAACAAAATAATAAGGTGAGTATAATTAATATCATGTAATATAATTTCACACACTCACTCTCTCTCACTCACTCACTCACTCTCTCTCTCTCTCTCTCTCATATATAATGAATGAACTGCTGAACATTCTTCATAACTCATGTGTGTTAGACTCAACTATGTGAAGCTGTCATCAGTGTTTAGCAGTATAACTGTCACACACACTCACCCGTGAGTAGACGACCTCCAGCGAGATGTTCTGCGGCGGAGCGCTGGGCACTGCGGACACACACACACACACACACACACACACACACACACACACACACAGGAATCATCATGAGACAGAGATATTTAACTTCTTCAGTGCAGATCTGAGTCTGGATGATCTGGAACACAATCGATCAGAGAAACACACTCGTATCTCAGGCTCTGGAAGGTCAAGGGGTCAAGGGGTCAGATAAAGTTAGTTTTGATTGATTCACTTCCGTTGTAAAGATCGTTAGTTATTAGCTTAGCGGCCGCTAACACGACACTGCCCTACTGAACACCGTTCACTCACACACACACACACACACACACACACACACACACACACACACACACACACACACACAGTGTTAGCGCTCGAGCTAATTATTTTGACAGTGTTTATCTGTACAGAAGTAAAGAGAAGGATAGCATATACTTTTGAGTTAATATTTTTAATTAGATTTAAAAAGACTATATATTTAAAATTTTGTTAAAGTTTTTGTTTTGTTGCATGTTTTTTGTCATTTTTATTATTTTTGTCTTTTAATATGTCTGTCTGTCTCTCTCTGTGTGTGTGTGTGTGTGTGTGATAATGTGTGATGGTATGTAATGGTAAATGTAATGGTATGTGTGTGAGAGTGAGTGTGTGAGTGAGTGTGTGAGTGTGTGTGCATGTGTGTGTGTGTGAGTGTGTGTGTGTCCCACAATTTGATTAGTGTGCCACAAGGGCTCTTAATTAAGCAGGAATAGTGAAGCGACTCGTTTGAAGATTCTCTAATGGAAACTGACACACAATAAACCTGAAGCCTCTCAGAGTCGAGCTGAGCTAATGCAAAGAGACACACACACACACACACACACACACACACGGGTTAAACTGAGGACTGATTACTGAGACTTCTGGAGAAAATCACCCGAATGTGAGACCAGATTCAGAGACGGAGAATCAGGAGAGCAGTGCATGATGGGAATGGATGGTGAGAGTGGGAGGTCTGAGCTGAATGTTAAGAAGATCTCTCTCTCGTCTCTCTTAAAGGGCCAGCGTCGCGTTTATAACACTGCAAACCAGCACTGATGGGCTTCTTAACGACTTCTGTGGGAATATACAGTAAAGTGTCATTTATTCCTGAATTGATCATCATTACTCCAGTCTTCAGTGTCACATGATCCTCCAGAAATCACTCTAATATGAGGATCTGATGATCAACACACAGTTATGATTATTAGCAGTGTTGGAAACGGTACATATGTTTGTGGAAATCATCATATATTTATAGAAAGTGCAAAAGAACAGCATTTATTTGAAATATAATCTTTTGTAACATTATACATGTTTTTACTGTCATTTTCTAATCAGCATTAATCCTGTACCAGAAATCCTTTCAATAAATTAATAAATAATAAATAGTGCTGGTCAACGATTAATCACATCTACAATAAAGTTTGTGTTTACATAATATATGTGTTTGTGTGTGTGTGTGTGTAGTGTGTATAATTATTTTGTATATACAAATACATACATACATGTGAAAATGTAAGAAATTGAGTAATATATAAAATATTTATATTTATACATAATATAATATTATGTATAATTATAGTATATTCAGTATATACATGCAAATATTTCTTAAATGCATACATGCATATTTGTGTGTATTAATGTATAAAATAATTATACACACACACATATATTATGTAAATACAAAATTTAATTTTAGACGCGATTAATCATTGCCCAGCATTAAAATAAACATAACTCTAACTAACGTCAAAATTATGAACATTATTGTATTGTAATATACAGTATATGATATAATATACTGTAATATAATGTAATAAAATATACTGTAACATACTGTAATATAATGTAATATATTGTAATATAATGTAATGTAATTATACTGTAATATAATGTAATAGAATATACTGTAATATAATGTAAGGTAATGTAATATAATGTAATATACTGTAATATATTGTAATTTACTGTAATATACTGTAATATATTGTAATGTAATATACTGTAATATATTGTAATTTACTGTAATATAATGTACTGTAATATACTGTAATATATTGTAATATACTGTAATGTAATAATGTAATGTAATATACTGTAATATGATGTAATGTAATGTCACATCTGAGTCTACAGATCAGGTCCAGCTGGGAGAAGATGATAAGATTGAATCTTTAAGAATTACTGCAAACATAATCCTGAGGTTATCTCATAAATCAATAGTCTGATGTTAGACGGCTAACGAGGACGACAACTGGGAAATATAGCGCGCTTTAGCATTCATAGCACTGAGCGGCCGCGTGTGTGTGTGTGTGTGTGTGCCCTCGGGCTGGAGAGAGAACAGAGGACGAGTGACACACACCCTCACCGCTTCACGACAAACACACAGATTGTGGAAGAAGAATAATGACATACATTTCTGAAGCAAAAAAGCTTATTGAATTACACGACTCGGATGAAATATGCTTTGCATTTTAATACATCGTATTTTTAGATTCAAAACCCTTCACAAATCAATAATCAATATTCACCGGCCGCTCAGATTCGGGAATGTTGATTCTGCAGCAGATGGAGATGATGAGATGATGGATCTGTGATCGGCTGATATTCCTGACGTCAAATGTTGAATTTAAACCACTGAACTTCTGCATGTGAAATAAAATCGCCTGTCGAATATGATCGGTTGTACTTTATAAGCAGAATTAACATTTTGGAAGTGAAATCTGAAGGTGGATTATTTAATTTTTTATTTATAAAATATGTCTTGAAATATTCACAGAGTAAATATACGACCATGTTGAATTTCAGCCCTAAAAATGCGATGCATATTTTATCCAAGTAGTGCAATTCAACAAGCTTTTTTGTTTCCAAAATATTGGCGTTATAATACTTCCATAAAATCGTCAATAACAGGATGACGTGTGTGTGTGTGTGTGTGTGTTTGGTTGAAGTTCAGGGAAGTGTGTGTGACGCGGGCGCTCAGACGGCTCGGGTGAGTGACGCGGCGTGAAACGGATTGACGCCAATCAGAGCTAGCATTAGTGTGTGATTAGCCGGAGTGCTTATGGAAATAGCTCCTGAACAGCGTGACGGACACACAGATGAATCCAGTCCTGCGCACACTTCATTAAATATGCAGATAACTGGATTAACGTGTTTTCGGTGCAGTCAGGGGGGTGAACACTTATGCAGACAGCTATCGCAACTCTTTATTCGAGTTTTCTCTGAAATAGGTCACTTTGGTTTGACTTTATTATATTCGTATACCCCATCGCTGGTTTCGTACCGTCGGAGAGAGTGGTGACGAGCGTGTCCTGGTCGGAGATGCCGGGCCCGTGTCGGTTCACCGCCAGCACTCGTAGAGAATACTCCGTGAACTTCTTCAGTCCCTCCATTCTGTATCTCTGACCGACAACCTCCACGTTCTGCCGAGAGAAACACAAACTCACGTCGGACACAACCAATGTTGATATTCAATGATTTACAGGTGCACATCATTATTGTGTGAATCAGTTCCTCCTCCAGCATCTCGCCTCTCCTCGGATGAGGTGGGTGGGGCTATAACCTGTCACTCACAATCAAGCCCCGCCCATGTGTGTTCTTCTTCCTGAAGCGATTCACTTGATATACGACACAATAGAGGAGAGAAGACCAGCATCTCTTAGTGGTGGGAGGGGTTTATGCTAATGAGGCCTCGCTAAGCTCCGCCTTAGAAAAATTACTAAGTCATAGCTCACTGTAAAATTTTTACAATTTAGTACATTTTACAAGAAAATACTATTTCAGTTTCTCTAATTCAGTGTCGTTTGGCTCTTTTCTAATGCGAGAGTAAAACAGGTCAGATTTATGTAATAATACTTTTACAATAAAAATGCAACAACCAGGTTTATCAATCAAACTTGTCTCAATCATCCTTTTTTTTGCACAGTTAGCCATATAAACCATACGCATACTTTTTAAACTGAATACAGCTAATCAATTTGAATAAATGCATTTTGAAAGTATGATTATTGAAATAAAATTAAAAAGAGCACATAGTCAATAAAGCATGTAAGTAAATGAAGTAAAGTAAGTAAAGAGTGTGATTTTTGAGTGTGATTCTGACTGGTTTCATTTATGCATGACAGACAAATATGCATCACACTATGTAAATTACAAGTTTATTAGTTTAATAATAGTCGGTGTAATGTATATTAGTTTAATAATAGTTAGTGTAATTCAAACAGATGGACATTTTTTATGCCAAAAATACATAAATCTTAAAATTAGACTTAATTATTTCTTTGGGTCTGTGGAAGATCTGTGTGTTTGAGAGCCATCGCTGTAAAAGTAAGCTTTTAAACACATGAGCGCAGGATTTGGCAGTTTCTTTAGAGAAAAACAACAGATGTTAGATGCGCCGTAATGTCGCTTTATTCCAGCCGTGTAAAAAACAATATCTGATTAATCTGCAGCACTTTATCAGCTCAGTTCTGAAAACCAATCCATTCCTATAGATGGTTCAGTGAAGTCTGTCGATCTGGCGGATGTTAAAACGCTCACAGAGAACAAGCTGTTATCGTAGTATTGGCTGGTAAGTGCATGTTTGTCCTGAACGTTTGACCACACTGAGAGGGCATCAGTCATGTCTTTAAAACACTGTAATGATGACAGACTCCAGCAGAGATGATTGAGAACATCACAGTCAAGCGCTGTAGAGATCAGACGTTATCAGAACGGAAATATTTGACCTGCAAAAATTAAATCAACTGCATTTTAACATTTTCTGAAGCAAACGTGAGTGGAGTTTCAAAAAATGGCCTTCGTGATGCTGAGCTGCTGTGGGTGGTTGCTAGGATGTTGCTATGCGGTTGCCAAGGTGTTGCTAGGGAGTGATTTTTCATTGTCTCTAGTGAAGTCTAGGGCTGCACGATATATATATCAAAGTAAAATCTAAATCTACTTTTTATTGTCAAAAGGTAATATATATATATATATTGTATTTTAAGTACAATCAAATTATTATTACAATATACTTCTGATTTTGTTTAATATTTTTAAACATTTTATTATTATTATTATTATTTTTTTTTAGTCTGTCTTTTGTACCCTGTGTATTTATTGTGTAACTTATTGTTGTCTTGCACTTTTTTCACCTTATCTTGGCCAGGTCGCCGTTGTAAATGAGAATTTGTTCTCAATCGGCCTACCTGGTAAAATAAAGGTTAAATAAAAAAATAAAAAATAAAAATTAAATAAAAATCATATAAATAAATACATATATACACCCACTGGTTTTCGGACAGCATGCGTGTAAATGAACAAACTGTGTGTTTCCATTCTGAAACCGGCAGCGGATATATTTTTATTTGCCCACAACCTGACAAATTAAAAGCTCTCTGGATTACCATTTGAAAATGAAGAAATTAAGATGTAAATATTAGTATTGTAGTTTTACAGTAAAATAAAAATATTATTATTATTTTTTTACACTACAATAGTATTATAACAATAAACGTCTTATTTTTATTTAATAATAATCACAATAAAATCCGTATTATTGTTATTTTGTTTTTTATGAGATTTGAGATTTTTCTCTGTTCACTTTATGGTTACTGAAAATTTGAGCTGGAAAAAAATAAACGGACCCAAGTATGAACATTCAAACCTTTCAGGTTTTTCCCAAATCGTTCAAAAAACGTTGACGCGCCGGTGCGGATCTCGGGAGGAGTCTCACCTGCTCTTTGCCGGTGGAGGTCTCGGTCCAGAGCAGCCGGTAGCTCTGTATGGGCCCGTTGGCGTGAGCGGGAGGATCCCAGGACGCCTCGATGGACGTCGGAGACCCGGATTCTGCCTGAAGATTCTCCACTGGACCAGGAACCAGAACTGCACAAACACACACACAATGTTAAATGTACATTCTGATTATTTCACATTTAACAGAAGAATAAACATGTTAAAGGTCATTGAAAACTTTTATATTGCAGTATTTTTCACACCGCTCTAAACTCAAACCGCTCTAAACAGACTTTTGGTTTGTATCAATCACTTCTGCAAAGGTTAAAATGACATACAACCACAGCAAATTAACAATTCTTCTGACTCTCAAAACCTTCTCCTCTCTTCTTAACCCTCCTCCTCCTTCACCAACCGTAACCGCTGATGACACATTCTTCAGAAATAAAACCACCACCATCAGTAGACAATTTTCTACTCAACAAACTGACACACACATCTTATGTACAAAAACACACACACAGTGTCCCTTCCTTCTCACCGCTCTAAGAGGCAGAAGTCTTCAAACTCATCCGTTCCAATCACCTACAACCTGCCCACTTGATCTGATCCCTTCTCGTCTTCTTCAGTTGTACCTGCACTTTCTCACTCATATCAACACTTCTCTTCACACTGGCATCTTTCCCACAGCATTTAAGCAGACTCCGATTAAGAAACCCACTATAAATACAGCACTTTTGGGAAACTACAGACCGGTATCTCTTCTTCCATTCATTGCTAAAACACTTAAGTGAGTCATTTTCAACCAAATCTGACAAGCTCTGTCATTCAGAAACATGGTTTATCCATCACTGTTATCATCTAGATACTGGAGTGCCTCAGGGCTCAGTGCTGGGACCGCTTCTCTTCTCCATCTACATGTCATCACTAGCGTCTGTCATTCAGAAACATGGTTTACTCGAACATGGTTTATCTCGAAACTACTGCCAGTTCCGTTAGGATCATGTTTTTTGATTTTTCGAGCGCTTTTAACACTATACAGCCACATATTTTAGTTAATAAACTAATAAATTTTAAGTTGCATAAAACAACCATTGCCTGGATTCTAGACTACCTTCTAGCACGACCACAGTTTGTTAGGATGGGTAACAAACATTCTAATACCATTTTAACTAATACGGGAGCACCTCAGGGTACAGTTTTATCCCCCTTTTTATTTTCACTTTATACTGCTGATTATAGGCATAGTCAGCCATCCTGCTGGATACAAAAATTTTCTGACGACACTGCTTTAGTAGGTCTACTTAATAAGGGTGATGATCTTGCTAACCGAATGGAGGTTCAGTCTTTTTATAACTGGTGTGATTCAAACTTTCTGAAACTGAACATTGGGAAGACCAAAGAACTTGTGATTGACTTCAGAAAGAAAAAAGAGAAGGTCCTCCCAGTTAGAATTGATGGTGAAGAGATCGAGATTGTGCAGTCATATACATTTTTGGGCGTTCATTTGTGTAGAAAAGGCCACCCCTTTGAAATGGACTCTTCCGATCTCCCCCGCCTCTGTTCGTGAGTTGGACTGCTCGTAAAAGTTGCACGGAGAGTTAATAAGCAAGATCGCCTGACTAGAGGATGTGCTGACATGTTTATAGTGAATAAAAGTTGTAAATAGCAGTTAAGTTCGATCGAAGTGCTGTCATTCAAGGATTTAAAGATTATGTGTGTGCGTGCAGCTAATAGTAAGTACATTTGCATATTTATCGCATGATGCATCCGTGAGGGAGATTTGAATAGGCTGTCGCAGCATTGTATCGGAGTGTTCATATTGTTGGTTATGTTTGCCTTTGTATTGTCACTTAAATAGCAAGTTATCCTCCCGTATTGTTAGAAGTATAGGGACATATATTTGTATGTTGTGTGGACCTCAATTGGGTCTCGGGGAACATGTACGGGCATGTTAGCACTACGTGAGTTAGACATACAGTGGGAAAATAATCGAGACAGTTATAAATATATGTATATTATCACATTGCTTTATTTCTTTAATTCCCTTTAATACATCCTTGATTATATTTATACCAGAATTGTAGAGCTGTTGTAGATCTGTGATTTGTAATTCATTTTATTCATATTCTGTATATTGTTTGTTACAGAACCACATACATGGTCGCATTCATGGTTACATGCCTGACCTTTGTACAATAAAGACCCAAACTACTCTGGTGTGAGACATCCTGTTCTAACCGGACCTCCTGTAGCCGTTCAAGTAATCCGAACCAGAAAGTATAAAGAGTGGTTAGCAGTATTTTACATGGTCCTTCGAGCCGGAGTGAGTGGACTGCTACAGCTATGTCTCATCCAGAAAGAGAAACCCCTGTCGCACGACCACGGAGACGAGTTTGCCCTCCAGCTTACTTCGAAGACTATGAGCTCAGTGGACCTGGGTCTCGTCGACAGCAACCATGGTCGTCTAACTACCAAGCTGTACAGGAGGATGAACCACTAAATCCTACAGATCATTCCAGATCCACTTCACCAGTCAGCCAGGCATCAGATTGTGCAGAATGGAGATTGACTGACCGCTGGGACAGCACTTCTGTAAAACTGAGAGAAGAGAATGCTATATTGCAAAGGCAAGTGCAACAGTTACCAGAGTTAACAGCTATGTTTGAAGAGATTAAGAGGGAGAACGCAGCTTTGCAACGACAGGCCAGCCAGCTTCCTGAGATCATCACAACACTACAGGAGATGCGTCAACAGAATGCTGTACTCTGTAATGAGCTTCAAAGTCTGAAATCTGAGCGTAGAGATTTACCCAAGTCAGTCACTACACCAATGCCACTACCACGCTCTTACTCTCCAGTAGTCAACATGCCGACTCCACAGTCGTACCGCCCAATACCAGCCACACGCTCCAGATTGACACCACTTGCTGTTAAGAGACAGTCATATCCAGCTGCATTAGGAGAAAGCTCTGAGCTGAATGAGGACTTAAGAAACATGAACATTTCTTCTTCTACAAATGAGAGAATCCCTTTGACAACACGGTATAGTTACACACCGCATATCAGGTATGATAACTCTAACCTGTATTCCCCGCCACCTGAGCAGCCTGATTATGTGGTTCCATCACTGGACTTTCAGACACCAGCCCATGCCGAATATAGTTTGGAGCATCCATTACCTTCATTTTCCAACGAGAAAACCTACAGAGGCCCAGCACCTACCATACCTTTCCTTAAGTCTCCTGACCCTAGGGAGTTTTCAAGGCTGAGAATTGCTCTGGAGAACATCCTGCCTGATGATGCCTCAGAACACTTTAAGTTCCAAATCCTCACAGACCATCTGAAACTAGAGGAGGCCCTCTTAGTGGCAGACTCTTACAGCAATTCAAGGTTTCCCTTCACCAACACTATGAGTGCTCTGACTAAAATGTATGGTCAACCTCATCAATTAGCCTTGCAACGAATCTCTGAGCTGATGGATGGATCCAGCATACGCAGTGGAGATATTAGAGCCTTTAGGATGTTTGGACTCCAGGTACGCTCTCTTGTCAGTATGTTGCAGCAGTTGGGTCACAAAGGTAAAGTAGAGCTGGAATGTGGATCACATGTATCTCGTCTTCAGAGTAAACTGCCACATGACCTTAGATCCAGTTTTAAGAGATATACTTACCCACTGCGAGTTGAAATTCCTACACTGCTACACTTTGCAGATTGGCTGGAATACGAGCTTCAAGTGCAGGAGGATTCTAGTCAGTATGCATGTCACCCAAAACAGGATTCCTCTGCACATATCAGGGAGGTGAGAAGAGAGCCTAAGCAGTTTCGCAGACCAACTACAGTTCTCCTTGGGACTGGAAAGTCACCGTCCACACTGATGTCGTCAGCCACGTCCAAGCCAGATCCAGACCGAGCGGAGAAGGGAAAGGCCTTTTGCCCATACTGTGACAACGACAAGCATTATTTGAATGGCTGTGATAACTTCAAGCTTCTTAACAAAGACCAGAAGATAGACTGGATAAAGACTAAAAACCGATGCTGGCGTTGTGGTCGTGGACATCAAGCAGCCAACTGCACACTAAAGACTTGCTGTCCAACTTGTAGCAGAAAGCACCTTCTAGTACTGCATGAAGTCAACGATCAAGTCAATCCATATAAGCAGAACACCGTTCCGGCTAGTGCAGTTTTGTATCTTGATCGCTCAACGTCCAGTAGCAAAGTGCTTCTTAAGGTGGCAAAGGTACTACTTCGGAATGGTAACAGAGCGATTGAAGCTTATGCAGTGTTGGACGATGGATCAGAGCGGACCATCATTTTGCATGATGCAGTAGAGAGATTGGGACTTGTGGGAAAACCTGAGGAGCTTATGCTTCGCACAGTGAGACAAGATACTCAGGTAGTTCACGGCGCAGCAGTGAGTTTCACAGTGTCTCCAACTGTTAACCCCAGCAAAGTCTTCAAGATCGGTAATGCCTTCACAGCCAATGTACTTAGCCTGGCAGAACATACTCACCCAGTCAATGTGCTGCAAAGAAAGTTCAAGCATCTCTCCGGGTTACCGCTGCAGCATCTAAACAAGGTACAACCTGTGCTTCTCATTGGCTCTGACTGCCCACACCTTATCACACCTATACAGCCAGTCAGACTGGGGCCCCCTGGTGGTCCGGCAGCAGTGAGAACCCGTCTGGGATGGACACTGCAGGGTCCAACTCAGGAGTTGAGCAGTCATCCTTCCTCTGATCAATGCTTCTTCACCTCGCTGCGGCCCGTCAATGACCTTTATGCCAACGTTGAGAGATTATGGCAAATGGATGTTCTACCTTACCAGAGCGAAAAGGTGATCACCAGGTCACGGCAAGACAAAGAGTGTATTCAGCTTCTGCAGGAAACCACTGTGAGGGTGGATGTTGCTGGTGTTCGACGATACGCTACTCCTCTGCTACGTGTTAAGAACATGCCTCGTCTCCATGCACCTAAGGAGGCGGTTCTACCTCAGTTAAGGGCAATCGAGAAACGACTGGAAAGGAAACCCGATCTGGCTGCAGTATACCAAGAGGAGCTAACCAAGCTAGTAAAAGCTGGGTATGTTGTCAAACTTGATCAGGAACAGGTGAACCAAACAGAGGAAGCCTGGTACATTCCGCACCACAT